AGTCCGACAGGAAGCTGAAATGGAATTTTAGCACCACGCCAAGCGGCTTCCAGCACCCCCCCCCCCCCCCCCCAAGTGCATTACCACCCACCTCCCGGAGAAAAGGGAGACTCCATAAATCTCCGCTGTTTGGCTTTTGTTCCGTTGGAGCCCCAGACCTTGGCACGGATTTCCAGCTTTGCAAAAGAGCTATAAACGCAGTCCTCAACTTACGACCATCACCGGAACACTTATTGTTCAGCAGTGTGGTCACGAAGGGAGGCCTCCTTTGACCGCTCCGGGTTTTAAATGCGGTCATTAAGCGAGACGTCGCAAGACTCCTGGTCCCGTCATTAAGCGAGACGTCGCAAGACTCCTGGTCCCGTCATTAAGCGAGACGTCGCAAGACTCCTGGTCCTGACAAAAACCCCTGTTATGGACTGACTGTGAATTCTGCTCCTTCATATCCAGCCAAGTCTTTCGAGGGAGGATTTACAGTCACAGACCTTATCTGGCTTGGAGAGCTGCCAGGCTGATCTTTGCAGAACTCAGCAAGGAGTCTCGGAGAGTCACAAACCAATGAAGTGAACAAATTGTCTCCTGCAAACTCCACTCCCCTTTCGCTCCTCTTTTATTCCCTCTGGGAGGGGCCATTCACTGTCCACCTGTGGCCTTCCTCCCAAGACGACCCGTTCTTTAGCTGTTTCCTTCCTCTGGCAACTCTGCACATGTGCACACTGGGAACAGGCTCCAGCTGTTCTTCTGCCTCACTAATGCCTGACTCCGAAGGCAGCTGATAACTGGCATACGGCCCTGGCCCCCTCTCTGCCTCCGACACAGAGCCCTCATCAGAGCCTTCCCCCGACTCCAGGACTGGCCCATCTTCCTCCCCAACCTCCTCACTCTCCGAATCTGCGGCCGGATCCGCTGACGGGCCACATTGCCAAAGCCAGCAGGTCACCAACAGGGATCATGATTATTAAGTGCAAAGTGTAAATCACTTTTCTCAGCACACCGTCGTAACTCTGAACAGTCGCTAAATAAACCGTAAGCCGAGGACTACGTATACAAAGGTTAAGAATGGGCACAACATCGATATACCTCTCGCTGAAGTGTGAATCCCGGTGCTGAGGAAGTCCCTGCTTTCTTCGTTGGCTGGAAGAGTTGCTGGCCGAGGGAAGGTGAGGCTCTAGGCTACTCGGGTTTCGTGAGGCGACCTCTTGACGCGCCCGGAGGATATCTGTGCCGAGAGGAACAAATTGAGCATAAGTCGCCGCAACCCCTCATGGAATCAAACAAGATTAAGCTCATTCTTTCGCGGTGTGTCAAAAGTGCCCCTGACCACGTGCAAAGCTTTCTGATACAGGCTTCCCAAGAGCGTGAAGTAAATTCCCGGTCCCGTCAAAACCCCTTTTATTAATTGACTGTGAATTCTGCTCATTCATCTCCAGCAGAGTCTTTTGAGGGAGGATTTACGGTCACAGACATTATCGGGCATGGAGAGCTGCCAGGCCGATATCTGCAAAACTTGGCAAAGAGTCTCAGAGAGTCATGAACCAATTAAGTGAACTAAGGGTCTCCTGCAAACTCCACTCCCCTTTCGCTCCTCTTTTATGTCCTCCGGCAGACGCCCTTCATCATCCCCCTGTGGCCTTACTCCCAAGTCGCCCCCTGTTCTTTAGCTCTTCCCTTCGTCTGGCAACTCACACTGGGAACAGGCTCCA